GCTGCAAAAGACATATGTTTCTCTTTTTTGGTTGCTGAGTAATATTCCATTGTATATATGTACCACATCTTTCTAATCCAGTCATCTACTTTTGGGCATTTCACGCTAGTAGTATTAATAACGAAGTAAGTAACGTTGGTGTGGAGATGGTCCTCTACGAGATTTACTCTAGAAGAGCGTAGAATCATTAAACAATAACTAGCATTTATTGAACATAGGTTCCAGGTGCTGTTTGAAAGTCTCTGATAAGGGTGATCTGATATGATCCCTAGCCTTCCTGAGTTGGGTGCTATTCATGAAATCCCAGAAGTTTAGGAACTTGCTTAAAATCCCACCAACTTGGAAGTGGTAGAGCTGGGATTGGTTTCCAATGCAGGTGCCAGTCTCACAACTCCACTCAGCCTGTTCCAGTGCTTCAAGCTGTGTGCCGAATCGTCATTTACAGGTCCTTGAACAGTTCAGGAAAAGCCATCGAATCATACCTGCCACTCAATTCCCTTCCCAACCTTCCATTTTAGTACTGTGTTCTTCTGGCTTCCCTCAGATTCCACGTTCTCCGGGAAGCGGCCTCCAGCCACCCTGCCTGGCACATAGTAGGTGTTCATCCAAAGTCATTTTTACTTTTTCTTCCAGGTTCACAGTCAAGGTGCTAAGAAAGAGAATGTAAGACAGGAAGATTGTTAAATCTTTTTACTGAGGTAAGTTTTTTGAGATATATTGTTTTGTTTTATTTCATTTTATTCAAAGAAACCTCTGTCTCTTCTCCATAGTCTATCTTCTAACTATATGAGGTGTTGGATTTAGGAGTGTTTAATATGTTCACAGAGCCTGGCTCCCTAAGGTGGATGCCAGGAGCGGAATATGTTTGAATTAGTACACTTGACTTCCTTAACTCTTTGGATGTGCCTTTAATGTGCCCAGTGCGGAGGCCAAGTACTGGAAGGTGACCTCAGGTAGCAGGGCTGGGAGAGCCAGAGCTGCTGGGAGGCTGGTAGACTGCAGTGGGCCGTGTACACTTGGTTTTAAATGAGGAGTTGAAGGAAGTTGAGACCTTTTTTGGTACAATAGCACTTCTTTTACTGAAATGAAAATTTGTTGTATTTTCTTACTATAAAAACCCCACCAATATAAAACAACATAGTAAAAACCTAGTTCCTGCCTTCTAGAAATAACTGCCATTATTATTTTGCAAACATACTTTTAGAAATTTCTTTTAAGAGTATAGAATTATTTATATACAAATCTTTAAATGAACTGATTTGTACAAGATGGGAGTCTTTTTTTTTTTTTTTTTTTAAAGTTTTTTTTTTTTAGCAAAACAGGGCTGGGGTCAGGCCAGAAGCTCAGGGGCGGCGAGAGGCTTCACCAGAGACAGAGCGGGGAACAGAACAGGCAGATCGTGGAAGTACACTGCTGAGGGGAGCAGCGGGCGGGTCAGGAGAGGTCTGCCACGCCATGTGGTCACCTCCGGGGCAGGCGGGAATCGAACTCATACAGAAGCGGCTTTAGATTCTCAGTGCTGTGCTTTAACCCTCTGCGCCACCAGGGAGGGCCAGATGGGAGTCTTTTTAATGTCACAATATGGTCTGTACTTGTCTACATGTGAGTAATCATAGGTGATCGTTTATTGTGATGTAATAGTCTATTGTTTAACGGTATCATACTTTACTCACTCACTAGTTGGATGGCCAGAGCCATTTTGTCCACCTTCTTTTTCTCGTGGATTATGGTGTGGTGGTCAGGTCCATACATGTATCACAGTATATGTACTTGTTCATTATCTTCCCAGGAGTATGACTGCTGGGTCAAAAATGGGGCCCATTTTAAATGCTGATACATACAGTTAACTGCTCTCTGGAAAGATTACCCATGTATACCACCCCCACCTCAAGCATGTTTTATTCAGCAGCCAACTTTATACCTGCATATACATGGCAGTTGCATCAATTTTGAAAGAATTAATGGTGTATGTTGCTATCATTAAGTTAGAACTAGTATGTAAGTGCATATCAGATTTAATTAAAAAGTTTAAGGTTTCTTGAAAATGAAAACTTGACATCTGTAATTACTATATGCACTAAGTCCAGACATGCATACTTCCCTAGCATTTATGATGTTTTGTTTGGACTGTTGATTGAGACAATATCCCATTTATTTTCAGAATCACACCAACCACAGTCTGCTTTTTGTTTGTTTTTTGTTGTTGCTCTAGGTCAAAGTAATTGTCTACACTGGGTGAGATGCTTGATCTTATTTAAAAAATCCAATTATAATATAGAAATATATAGTGTATAGGAATCTTTCATAATTATTACATTTCATATTATAGGAATACTTTATTTACAGTATAGGAATATTGTTCAAAATTATGTTATTTGAAGACAAGAATAAAGTTAATGACTCCAAACACTTTTAATTATAGGAGAGGGAAATTGAGCCATATTTTAATTTGTGGTTTAGCATTTATTAAGGATGAAAGTAGAGGAATAGGTTGCTAGCATTGAGAATGTCTAAATCTCCGAACAGTATTCTGCCTATTAACCTTCTGTGATGCCATGCTAGTTCCTGTCTGCTAGAAATAAGACAGCTACAAGAATCAGAAGGGATAGAAAAGTTATCTGATAGGTTTTAGCAGTGCTGCAGACTCTTGCTTCGTGTGTTTTGTTCCCCCTGCAGTGTGGATTGCATTCCAAATGCATGTGTGGCAAAGATTCTAGCGCCAGTGATTTGAAAATCAAGTGTCAGGCTCCCCACTTAACTGAGCCCGCCCTGGATGAGCAGCTTTCATGGTAGAGTTATACAGGACGTACATGGGAGGGCGGGAGAGGACTGGGTCCAGGTGCCCTGGTACCCCCTTCTGCCAGCTGGCCATCCAGCTGGGGGCAAACCGCCACCTCTTTAAAAAAGCGTGAACTAGTTTTTATTAGTGCTTTAGCAGCAGTGAAGTTATTTATAAAAGATGAACCCTGTCGCAATTTTTATTTGTATACCTTATTTGCTTAGCAACCTCTTTCTTGGTAAATAAAGTTAAATCTGGTGTTTTGAAAGGAAATTACTCAGTCTTCATTAGCAGGTCTAGATGAGAATGATATGGAGTTTTCCCTCTAATATCTTGTGGCTAATGACATCATGTGTTTGTTTGCTCAAATGACCAAAGGTTCTGGGTTCTTGAATTTCTTTTCTGCAGCAGTATAGGAATTTGCTTTTATGGTAGCTTTCATTTTACCGATGAGTTAATTTCTTTAATCACATGCTTTAAAACCCTAATTCTAAAAATAGTCCTAGAAAGTGAGGAATTACTATAGTACTTGAACCAAAATCTTTGCTGAAAACATGACTTCATTTATTTCTCCTCTTAAATTAATGTCTAAAGAATTTTATACTAAAACAGATTTTAAGGCATTCTTTTATATTTATGGGTTGGGTTTCGGGCATTTGTAACAGTTTCTTCCAGTTTCTTATTTTAGGCATAAAGCTTAAAGTTTATAGACTGGCAGCAGTGTAAATGGTTATTTGATTGGAAAGTTGGAAAGAGAAGTTTTTGTCTTCATATACAGAATTCACGGTGCTGGAATATTCAGATGAAACTGTTTTAAATCAGAGTGAGAGTTCTGAAGCGTATTGAGAGCAACGGCAGTTTTTCCTAGTGTTCGCAGCATACATAGTATGTCCCAAGCAAAACCAGCACCTGGGTTTGCTTCCGTAGTTTCTGTCTCTCACAGAGTCATCGTTCGCTCAGAGACTTAGGGTGGAGTTTTGGAAAGAGGGGTGGCGAATGGCCCTGGGCCACAAGTTCCATCCTGAGCACAGTGCTTGGCCTCTTCACACCCCTTCGTGCCCCCAGAGGCCTTCCTTTCTGACCTTAGCAGCTTTGCCTTGTGTGGCCTGGTGGGCCTGGGCAGGTGAGTGCAGATGCTCACCTGAAGTAGCCTCCAGCAGGGCCCAGCACCATCATCCTTCCCACATCACAGCATGTGTCACGATGAGAAAATTCTACACCAGTCTTTCTTTGTGCCAGTTTGTTCAGAGAGGACACTTAGTTCTTGGTGAGGGTTGTGTTTGTGTTTAAAAGTAGTAAGTTTTGTTTTAAATAGATTTCAGTGTATTCTAATGTAACAAAGTTTTTCTGTGGGAATGTTCTAGCAGCCGTCACTCAAGCATTAATTGCTGTCAATGGGAAAGGATATCCTCCTACATCTTTTCTGGAGTGCTTGAAACCATCCTACTTCCTTTTTCTTTTACCTTAAGAATGATTACTGACACTTGGGAATTATAATCAGATTGCATCAATCTTTATGGAAAGGTTACTAATTATCGCACTGAAAAATATGCATTTCTCTTTGACAGTGAGTGTTTCTCTTGGTATGTCTCTCAGTTCAGGGCTGTTAAATACCTGTTCAGTGAATGAATGCTTTGTGTCATTGCCTGCTTTAATGTACTTAAAACAGGCTTTATGAGAGACTTTCTTCAGTTCTATTGGGATAATTTATTTAATAAGAAGTTTTTAGGATCTTTTAGTTGTTTAGATGTCCTTGGGGTAGGAGGATGACTGGCATCACCTACTGACACTGTGATGCGGCTCCAGAATAAGCGCTGCTGTGCGGAGTCGGGTGCAGGGAGCATATTTGGGGGGCGGCTTCCAGCTGTGCCCCATGCGTGGCCTCACTGTGTTCTCACTGCGACTCTGATGATAAGTAGTTTTAGAGGACAGAAGGACTCAGCTGTGACATTTGTCCTTGGGCACATAACTAGTGTATTAAAAACAAACACTGTCCCCACTCTCTTCTTCTGCCACCGACTGAGAAAGGAAGGGTCGAGTAGTTCAGATGTTTCCTTTATTGTAGACATGGAAAGGTTTCACTGCCGCCTTATAAAACCACTTTATCACTGACGTCGTCACCATCCTCTTCCTAGTATTCTTTAACATCAGCTGCCAGGGTGGCAGGCCTGGAGCAGGATGGCAGAGGGTGGCTCTGTTCAAGAACTTGGGGCTTACGCTAGTGCCTGTGGCTTGTTGAAGGTGGTGGCCCTCTGCGCTGAAGGGCCCGCTGTGGCCAAATTGAAACAGACCTTCTGTGGGATGTTCATTTTGTTGTCAGAGAGAAAGCTTGTTTTTCCTTGCTCTGTGCTAATAAAGCTGACATATTTTCTCATGAGTTAAAAAATGCTTTGACTTGTTTAAATATGTAATCAAAGGGAAAGGAGCACTTCTGGTAAACTCTTTTCTTGCCATAGTCCCTGGCTAATGCTGCTCCATGCCTGCCTGCTGACTGCAAATTGTGTGCTCATTTGTGTTTTCCTCTTTTTACTTTGGGTTAGATTTAGTGGCTGCTCATGGTAGAGGTGTAGAGGTAGGAAAATCAGTCGTTTCCTCATTTGAACAGGTTGTGTGTTGTTGTGACCGATCGCCTGTCCCATAGCAAGCAGAGTGATTCAGCTGCTGCTGTACAGAGGTGATTTTCTTTGATTGTGTGTAATCATTACAAAATATCATCTCTTGAGACCCAACTCACATGCCATGAGCTTTACCCACAGAGCCCACTGGAGTGGGTCTGCTACGTCCATGGGGCAGTATACTTATCACTGCAGCCTCACCCAGGACACTTTCATTGCTCTGGAAGAAAACCCGGCACTTAGCCAGCCTCTCTCTAGCTACTGGCAACCGCTGACCCACTTTCCATGTTATAGGACTTGCCTG